TGTATGTATGTATGTATGTATGTATGTATGTATGTATGTATGTATGTATGTATGTATGTATGTATGTATGTATGTGTTTGTTTCTGTTTTGATGAAATGACAGTTGAAGCATCATGGGAGTGTATGCTTAAAACCCACTAAGCTGGTTTTGTTTTCAGTCTTACTTCCAGGGAATAAACATCTTAACATTCAGAGCACGTGAACCACAAATGTTATTTTCTAGCTATGTCATAGCATTCTGCTTGGCATTCAGCTTTTGTCAAATTTTGTAAAAATATATATATTCCTCTAACATATTTTACCTTTGGCTGTTTTGCATTTGAAGCCTGCTGAGAAATAGTTTGGGTCATTTAACTTATTTTTGATAGGAGAATAGGATGAAAACTCCTATAAATTAAAAATTTCACTAAAAAGAGCAGTTAACACACTCAATTGCAGCTGTATTTTTTTTAGTACTGCTTGATTTCACTTCTGCTAATTCTTCTATTCTTATAGTCTTATTATTTAATATAATAAACCAACAAAACAGAAAAAAATTGAATTTTCTCATTATGCAACAGTTCTGTAGTTGTTTTACATTATTTCTAGTAAAGTGCCAATATTTACTGTTCATACTGAACATAAAAAACTCAATTGTTTTGAGGTTATATTGTTAAATGCAGTAGTATTACAACCTACATGCAAAACAATTCAGTCTGTACACAGCAAATATTGGCCATCTAAGAAAATCTTGCAATCTTATATCTAAAGAGTATGTTTTTGATCTTATTTTGAAACTGAYATAAGCAAGAGCAGAACAGATTATTCATCTTGTTAGCCTGGAAAGTTGTCCTAACTTCAAAAAGTCTTACCAACAATACTGGCAGATCATTTCACTCAATTTGAGAAGATTCAGATTAAAATCTTGTATAACTTTTTTTTAAGATGGAATTGCTTTTATTCCAGTGAAGTCTGTGTTTCAACTTTCTTTTAGAGTAAAAAATGGGACTTAAATTAGAGGCTACTCACTTTTAAAATAAAGAACAACCTTTTTCTCCATAAATCCCTGTAACTTAGCACACAATGGTTGTCTCATCAGGCAGTAAAAAACGAACAAAGTCTTGGATGCCATTCTCCAGAAGTACTGACCCATCACCTCAGTGTGAAACAGCAGAGCTGAGCTCGGGCCTGAGTCACAACATCGACTCATTTATTAAAACACTGGACAGTATTAGACTGTAATGACTTTACCTCTCTAAATGTAACCAAGCTAACATTTTATTTGACTGGCTGCATCTGAATAAATGGTTGTATCTGTTTAAAAAACCAAAATAAATTATTACAAATCTGTAAACCCTGTCACCCTCATACCCATCCAGTCTAATAACCTGATGTCTGCAAGAAGACTGAGGTGCAAACCACAACGGTTTCTGTGACCACACTTGAGTCACATCCCAACGTCTGCAGTAAGAACAAACAGGTGAAAAAAAAAAAAACAGAGTGCCAAAGAAGTAAAGCACGTGTTGTTTGGTTTAGTGGCAGAACCTGTTTGAAAAGTACTCTGCTGTTTGATACCATCATCATTACTGCTGCCTTGAAAGGGAAGTGTTGAAATTCACATGAAAGATTGTACCGTCAAGGTAATAATAATGGGCACTGCTTGACTGGAAACTGCATTTCACAAAAGCCAAAAGCAGTGATGTGAGGCAACGATTACAGCAGCAGTTCTTAAGCTGTTTAGTTTAGCTTTTAAATGAATTGACAAACTATTCAGATAAAACTAAAAAAATTATGGTATATTTACTTACTATGATGCATTTACTTTAATAAACGCTCATATTTAAAGGAGACGTATGGTGCTTTTAAATCTTTCTTTTTCACGTTTAAATCATTCGGTTGGGGTCTATATAAAGTGGAACTTCAATGCTTTGGTCTGAATTCCTTCCCATTGTAGYTCCACAAGCCCCTCTTTCACCTCTTTTCTGAGGTGTGTCTCAGATCAACTCGTTTTGAGGTTGCCTCTTTAAATCAGAATGAGGCGCTTCACACCTCGCTCCCCMCTCCAGACCGTTCCACTCCTGTTAGAAACTTTTTATTTTCAAATTAATCAAAATGTGTCTGCAATGGAGGACTTGTTCATCCAGCCTTACATGTTGGAGCCAGAGAACAAAAACAACCACATTGTACTTGGTAAGTCCAGTTCTGTCACAAATTCTATGATGTTATAGTTATATATATATATAAACAGGTTGAAAAATATGACCCGAACAGAATATAAAAATATCTACGCAGCACTGGGAAAGACTAAAGTAAAACTTTTTGCACTCCTAGAGACTCCAAGTGCACAACAAAATATATTTTATGGCTAAAAAATGAGACTTTGCATGATATGTCCCCTTTAAATAKAACATATTGTTGCCCACCCATTGATTACTTTCAGAAAACTCCATTAAAATTCTCCAACAAGATGTTTTGTTAACAGTAAAAGGATGCAACAAACACGAGCTAAAACATTATCACACTTTCATCTACTAGCAGTAAAGACATCTGTCAGTGTGTTAAGTTATTATGTAAAAACTGTCCGTCTTACCAAGTTTTAAAATCTTATATCAGCCAAAAAGTCTTTTTGATCTTGTTTTGAGTGATTTACTAAACAAGAACTGATTGTGTAAGAATAATAATCTTGTTTTCAGAATGTGTAAGATTATTTGTCTTGTTAGTCTGAAAATTTGACTCAAATTAAGTCAAAATATCTGCCANATCTTGTTTTCAGAATGTGTAAGATTATTTGTCTTGTTAGTCTGAAAATTTGACTCAAATTAAGTCAAAATATCTGCCAATGGAATAAGAAAATTTTAAGATTCTTGAAATAAGAAAAAATTGAGTCAAATCAAGTATTTCAAGAAGTCTTACCAAGTAAAATTTTCTTATTCCATTGGCAGATATTTTGACTTAATTTAAGTCAAATTTTCAGACTAACAAGACAAATACTCTTACATATTCTGAAAACAAGATTATTATTCTTACACAATTATTCTTGCTTAGTAAATCAGTCTCAAAACAAGATCAAAAAGACTTTTTGGCTGATATAAGAGTTTAAAACTTGGTAAGATGGACAGCTGGCTGTAGGTTGTTATTTGTAAGATATTAAAGAGACACGACTGGAAGCTATCAATAACTTTCAGTAATAAAGTTGACAACAGTTTTTTTTCATAGACATAACCTGGGGAAGCTGCCAAACATCAGAGCCAACAAAAACAAAGGTGCATCTCTGTCCACACCCTCCAACATGTTCAATGCAAGCTGATTTGTTTTGTTCACTTCCAGATATGGAGTTTAAGAAACCTGATACTTGACAAGGATCAAGCCACAAGATTGATGACAACACTGGTGCAACTTTCAGAAAGAAAACTTTATATAAAAAAAATTCAGTTCAGTTAGGAACACACCAGATTACAATTCAGCATCTGAAGCTGCCAATTTCCAGTCCCACACAGGACATGTGGTGCAGGAGATAAACGCATGTGGAGCCTGAAGACTTCCTCCTTCATGCTAACAGGAAGAACTCGTGTACTGGCTCGTTCCTGTCTGTGCAGGTCCAACTGCAAGATGTTCAGCTTTGTCTTTTTTTTGTCATTTTAAATCATTTAAATGCACCACAGATGACGGCTCGTTGTAATAAAATACATTTAACTGCTGCTCGGGGACGAATCCGTCACCTTCATCTTCTTTTTTTGATTGCAGGCAACAGTAATGACGTGGTGTGTGGTTTCCTGTTTATCCTCTATAAGGCTGCAATGTTAAAAAAAAAAAAAAACAGGCCTCCTACGAGAGGATCAGTAACTGTTACACTAATAGTCCATGAACTATAATGTAGGTTAAAGTATCAAAGCTCTCTTTTCACTTTCACTTCTCATAGAGACAGAATTGTTCAGTAAAAAGAACATTTAATACACTTTTCTTTTTTCTTCTTCTTCTTTGCATTTGCATGTTTGAAACGAGTTCCCACTTCCAGAGCAGGCTGCCCACGCAGACCTGGAAGCTTTCAAAGACTCTGTGCTTGCTGTGAGTGAGCGTAAACCAGAACAGAGGACTGAGGGATTACTGTTGCTCCTCGAGGACTTTAAATACACATAATACTCATATATAACATTGTTGCACTGTTTTAAAATCTACCGTGTGATGAAATCCACTGATTTAGTTTTTGGTAAACTTCCTTATCAGCATGAGTCAGCAGATTGCCTCCAATGTAACGCTGCATCTCTAATGTGCCTGCCTGATACAGTAACACAGAAAGCCACTCTGAGAGGGATGCAAAGATGTCATTAATACTTTATACACACTACTAATTATTCTACAAGTGTATTTTAGAGTGTTAATTAAAGTTTTGACCTAGTTTTTCTTGCTATCTGTGCTGTTTTATTTTTATTTTTTTAGAGCGGACAGAAAACTCTCCTCCAGCCAGAGGACTCGGGTCTGTGTGAATTAGGATTTTTCTCGAGCCAGGGATGCGTCATTGAAAAGCTATTTCATCTGCTCTGTCAGTCTTTCCTGGATTAAAACGGCATTTCGATTTTCATGGGAATCTGGCTCGCTTGTTCAAAAACCATTCTAATGTCTTCTTAATTATTATTTTTGTGTGCGCATGAAGAAAAACTGGAGGGCATACCATTAAATATTTTTAAAAAAGTGCTTTTTTTTCATTTGGAGTAAAAGGAAGCAAATTCATTACAACACGAAAGCATTTCAAAACACACTTTGCATGGGTGTGTTAATTAAGTCGTATGACAGTAAAAACTAAACGTGATTTCACAATCTGCTCAAACTGCGATGTCCGGAATACCGTGAGTGCAACAGAGTTGATCTATCACTTCTTGACTTTCTGTTCACATCTCAGCGATRCTGAAAGCTCCAAGAAGCGGTGGTAGACGGAATGACCCGGGGAGGAGGATGTTCGAGGCATTCAGAGCTCGAGCAGGTCAGGTGAAGTGAAGGAAAAGTTTCTAAACTCCTCCTGGTTGATTGAAGGAATCACAGGTTCATCGATGGGCGTGAGGGTGGGCTCCTCCTGAGTGAAATCCGGATCGAAGTTGTTGACGTCTTCCGGCGTTTTCTGAAGGAAAACCAGAAAGCGTAAAAATCACGGCAAAGCACCGAAGATCCCAAAAATTCAAACCTTTTCAACCTTTTATTGACTTACAATCCTCGGCTTGAACGGTGGCTCGATTTCTCTGCGGTTCAGTTTGTCCCAGTCAATGCCAGCGAAGAAGGCGTGGCTTATCACAGCGTTCTCGCCGCCTTCTGATGGTACGCAGCCTAGACGCCGCACGGGGTTTTTGGTCAGGAACTGTGGAAGCCAAAAGATAAAGAGATTATGAATGAAGTTTTAGTCAAAGCTCGACAAATAAAACATTACGAGCAATCTCCTGCTGAGCTGCGAGACGTCACCCTCAGAGTATTTGATGGGAATGACTCTCAGCTACTACCACACCAAACTGTAGGCCGTTATCTGTAAAACTGACTGAGTTMGTTAGACAAAATCCAGTCGGTTCATCTGTCTCACACACACACACACGTTTTTTCTATCCTTGTGGGGACTTTGCATTGACTTCCATTCATTTACCAGTCATTTCTACAGCCTAACCCTGACACCTTAACCTATATGGAGAGC